CATCATCATCATCATCATCATCATCATCATCATCATCATCATCATCATCCCAAGGTTGACAGACTAAAGGCAGTTGATTTCTTTACCGTGCTAAAACTTCCTATTGCATAAGAGTTCAAGAAGGTGTAACAGCCCACAGTTATAACTCTGAATGTAAGTTTGCACGTAAGCACGTAACAGTATAGCCACGACGTACGAATATGTTGGTTTAAGTAGTTGTAGAGTGTTAAAACTAAGCGACGAACAACAGTAGCGGTTCAGGTCACCCGTCAGTGCCGGTGAACGGGTGCCCGCCAAAGAATTATCAATAGAAAGACGCAATCATCACCTCCGCCCTTCCCCTCCCCCTACCCAAGGCCGCAAAAGGGCAGCAATTCACTTTCGAACACCAAACAAGTGCATCCCTATACATTGCTCCAAAATAACCAACAAGATAGATTATAAAAGGATATCGGCCGGGCGGGCGGATGGTGCGGGGGGAGAAAACATGATATCGTAAAAGCTGGGAACCCAGGGAAACGAGCACCTTGAGATGTGACATCAGTGATGGAAAAAAAAGATGGGGGACGCAGGGCTGATCCCACGGTCAAGAGTTTTGTTGAAAGCACACTGGTGGCCCAGGACACGTGTGATCGTAATTAAAACCAAAATAACAGCCAATAACACACACAGAGTGGAGACAATAATATCACTATCGGTAGATTAAGTTGTGAGAGAGGAGGCGTTGTTCCTGTGGTGCAGGGAATGTAGTCGCTGCGACAGCCACTGAAGCGCTTGGGATGTTGAAGAGAAGGGAAAGTAAGAGATGGTCAGTTAGTGGGCCTGACTTTGAACGCGTAACTCTCTTCATTCTCCTGTTGTTGCTGACTTGTCTCATCTTTTGTGTCAACCTATGGGCGAGACGAAGAAGGGGTCAATGATGTAGCACAATTAAAAGTGTTCCAAGTATTTGCATGAATAAGGAAGAAGGCTTGTCGAGCACCGGATCGATTTGTTTATTTTCCTGACCTGGAGATGGACTCCTGTAAGAGTTCGAAAGCTCAGGACAATAAACAAATTGACTCGGTGCTCGACAAGTCTTCCTTCTTATTCCTAATTAGAAGCATGGTTAAGAATTCCTACGCTTAATAGCACGAGACTGTGAACGTGAAAAAAATGGTCTGCAGTATCAGAAACACCAGAACCAAATGAGTCGCCACTGCTGCCATCGCCACACACAATGACCAACCAACCTGGGAACCACAGCAGACGCGTCTTCGTCGCGTTCTCACCCGCCCTCACGGTGACCAAGGTCTGCTACACCAATCTCCCTACGTTGGATCTATCTCCCCTCCTCTCCATCTCTGTTTTTCATGAAGGAGCAGCCCCTCCCGACCACGCTGCTCCTCCTCCTCCTCGCCGCCGGGATTGAGGCTAATCCGGCGGGACTCTTGATCCAACAAGGGCTGGCTGGTTGGCTGGTTAGTAAACCAGCCAACCAACCAACCTAATA